GACATTGAACTCCCGATAGCGCCAATCCACAGGGTCCATAAAGCTGGCCTTGTAATCGAAAGCGCTATCAAACAACGCCATCCGACGATTGCAAATACGATCCAAGGGTGACCCGGCAAACATCGTTCGTTATCTTCGCCACGCCGTTCGAGACGTCCGCCAATGCCAGATTATCAACGACGACCTCCAATTGCAACCTTGGGCCGCGCTGCCCCCAATGATGGCCCCGGGCCCATGGGGGCGGCGCTGGAACGCAAGCGATATCCCAACGCTTCGCGTTAGATTCCTGGGAAAGACCGAACGCCTGCAGGCCCGAGGGCGCCCGTGGAACCGGCGGCTTCAGAGCCTCGCAAACGTCCGTTACAGACTTGTTGCAGGAACTCTCCAAGCGTCCTCGCACGTGCACGCTTCAAGCCTGTCGCGCCCGCAAGGCCCCCGCGCCCCCTTCAAAACCAAATCGCACCTTCCATGTCCTCGGCGTCTGCGCGCACTGCCGGCGGCCTGGCGCCAGTGCCGGGGGGCCTGCTTAGTCAACTCCCGCCATTGCGCGCCGGGCGCGACGCTCCCCCCAGAGCCCCCACGCGAGCGACCACCTTGCACGTGAGTTTCTGCGACGGGCACTCCAACGCGACGTCGACGTCAGAAGGCGGGCCGACGCTGCAAATCAGTGTCTCCAAGGATGACTTTTTCGGTTTCTACCCGAATGCGCCCGCTAAGGCGGTCGCCATGGCTTCTGTCATGGCCCACGTCAGCAGCCAAAAAGGAAGGGCGGTTGCCCAGTGAACTAACATCCGGAATCAATTCGCCAGGTTCGCGTAGTCTGAATCCAAAGCCAAGCGCATGCCGTTCCAGATCCAGGTGCGCGAGCGCGGAGTCGAAAATGCGGACGAACTCGTGCGGCTCGTACTTGCCCCCAGTGCTCATGGCTTGAGTCATTTCTACCCCCTCTACAATCGCTACGTCTGGCACGGTTACTCTCGCCCTGAGACTGTTGGCATCGCGAGCCGTGGCCAAGCCCTGGTGCGCAGCGGCGCCAGAGTCAAAGAGACACTGGAACATGTCGGCGCGTTGCACTGAACCAAACGCCGTCTGAGTGTCTCGGGCGCCGACAGTCAGAGGTGACTTGTTCCACTTGGTGGCATGGCAAATGGACTCATGGAGAACCGCAAACCAATCATCAACATAACATCCGGTCCTATACCCGTAGCTCTGGGACTTCGCAAGCGGGCGCACCTTTGGCAACGCAGCTGCGTAACGCGTCGCACCGAAACATGTGCACAAGTCATGCAATATCCCAAGCCGCCTGAACTCCTTGAAAGTGTCTGGGTTTCACACCTTCGGGATGCCGACAAGCTCGAATCCGCTCCACGATTCGATGGCATCGCGGCTCAAACCCAAGTCTAGGAAGCGCGCCAAAATGAATTGCAAAAGCAATCCTTGAACCAATGTGGGGAGTGGCGCCAGGCGCCCCCATGGAGGAGGTCAGAGCCTGCTGCAGCTTGGTCTCGCAGTCTTGCAAGCTGATCCAAGAAGTCCAAGAATGATGGTGCTCCGGAGCTGGCGTTGTCAATTTTGTTCGGTATAGCCTGACACCGCAAGTTCTGAATCAACTTCTCAAATGCCTCGCGATGGCGGGCAACAGCCGTCAACTTCGTCCGGGCCAACGCTTCGAGAGCATGCGCCCAGCTTGCTCTGTCGCCCGTGCTACTGCCATCAATCTGGAAGAGAAGCTGGGGGTGACCGCAAGGTGCTTGCACATCCGCGCGTCAGAGAACGTAATGCCACCCTTGTCCGAAATCCTCGTCCCTGTTCTGCACGGTGCTCGGGGTGGTGGCCACCTTCCTTTTTTCCGAGCATCTGTAGCTGCTTGCACGGCTGCAGCGTCTACATCATACTCCGCGAAAGCTGGGGCAGCCTCAGGATGCTGAACGACTTCTTGAACTACTTTAACACCATCTGCCAGACTTTGACAAGTCACTTGTCCCCGAAAACGATTGAACGAAATGTTGTACCTAGCTCGGTCTGCCTGCTGCCGGAAATCCCATTTTTGCACGCGCTCTTTCGCCTGGCGGCGAAGTTGCGTCGAAGCAAGCATGACCGGAAGTAGCTGGATAAAGAAGCGCATCCTGATAGGCAGGTGGTCGGACTCCCGTAGCTCCGACACTGAACATGCGTCGACTCCCCCGCCCACCATAGCTGCAAGCTCCTTCCCAGCATCAGAGCACAAGAAATCGTCTTAGGACTTGGACCTCGACGACCTCTTGCGGCCCACCTTGGTGAAAGCGGCACGGGATGGATCCAAGGTGCCGAATGTGTCACGTGCTCGGAGTCGAACGCTCTGGAGAAATCTGGCGGAGATCTCTGGGCGGCCGGCTTCTGTGATGGAAGCGGCCTTGCCACAATGGCCCCAGTCACGTCAATGCAATTCCCTGGTAATTGCCCTCCGCGGCCCAACACACGCATGCCCCTCGTGGCCCCCGCTCGTTCGCGCCTGTCGTGGCCACATGTGCATGCCCTTCGTGGCCCCGCTGTCGCCCGTCGTGGCCCCCTCGCTGTCCTACGTGGCCCCGGTGCAGCCACAAAATGACCCCGTCGTTTCCTTCTGTGGCCTCTGTGGCCCCGCATTATCAGCCCTTCGTGGCCCCCGCTCGTTCGCGCTCTTCGTGGCCTCATACGCATTCGCTTCGTGTCCCCGCTGTCGCCCTTCGCGGCCTACTTCGTGCCCTTCGTGGCCCTGCTGTCGTTCTCTCTCTCGCTCTCGCTTTCGCTCGTCGTCGTCGTCGCCGTCGTCGTCTTCGTCGTCGTCGTCGTCGGTCCCCTGTCCGTCCCTCTTGGGGTCGGGTTGCCGCCGATCAACGCTGCCTCTGGCCGACGGTCCGCGGCCGCCCCGCTGCTTGCCGGGGCCCGGCCTGCAGGGAAGAAAGGTATACCCCCCAAAATGGGTACGATCGAAGAAGAGGGCCGGTATCGAGGGATTGGGAAATACGAGTTAACGGACACTCAAGCCGATAAGAGCGAACAGTCTTAAAATGATTGTTGTTGCTGTCATTCGTCATGTCTTTGTTCTGTTGTTGCTGCACCACGCAATCAAAACGAAAGCGGTGCACGAAATCGCCAAACACTCTGATTCGCTCAAGCCCTCCGTGCTGAGCCTGGCGTGGTGGTGCTCGGCATCCTGTGCGTCCGCCGCCCCGTCGCCGGCAACATCCAGCCCTCGTGGGGCCGCGGCCGTGGCAGAAACGCTCAGGCCGCAGGCCAGGCCCTCTCCAGCACTCGGGGTGTACCTGTGCCAAGGGTTGCCGTCGACACCAGCGTAACCCCGTTCTCCCCCCCACCCCTGTCCTCCGCCCCCCCCTCCTCCTCCACCTCCCCTATCCCTTTGCTCATTCTCTCCCTCTCTCCTCTTCTTCCTCCACCTCCTCCTCCTCCGCCTCCTCCTCCTCCCCAAGCTTGAGTATTTGTCGTTCGCGTCCTCCTCTCCCTCCTCCCTCTCCCATCCCGCCTCCCTATTCATCCCCATGCCCATGTTCCTACCCCTCCTCCTCTTCAGTTGCTCCTCCTCCTCTCCTCTTCTTATGTCCCCGCCTCCTTCTCGTCTTCAACCTTCGCATCCCCCTCCTCCTCTCCTCCCAGTTTCTTGTTGTCCCTCTTCTTTCTCCTCTTGTCCCTTCCCGTATCCCTCCTCCTCCTTCTCCTGTGTCCCTCCTCGTTCTTCCCATTCCGTGCCTCCTAATTTCTGCTGCTGCTGCTGCTCCTGCTCGTCAGCCACATTCCCCACCATCTCCATCACTTCATCATCAGTCGTGTGTTCACAGTGGCAGCTCGTGGCAACCATCATAGCTGCTGCCACCCCACATAGAGAGAGACAGAGAGAGATCACGTCTCGCTCACCCTTGCTTTGTCAGCTGCCACAACTTCGAGATTACGAATGCCGATGCCCAGCCCCCCCCGCCGAGGCCAGAATCTGAGGAGAGGTCCTGAACGGCGCATACTCCAAGATACTACCTCTCGCCCCAAGCCAAGTGCACGCATGCCAAGGCTTGGGGTGTGGGGATCTTCCAGTGACCAATTGTCCACTGCGCCCGGTTTCTGGCTGGCCCGAGTGACCCTGGGAGGGGGCACAGCGGCACGGCTTGGCGAGGCTCTGCACGTGCGCACGGCCTCCCACGCGCACCCTCCACAGGCGACGCACATCAGCATTGCCCGGCTGGCTCCTCGGCGGCACGAGCGGGAGCCCCGAGGGCAAGCTGACCGCGGCCCGCCGCAGTCTTTGCCCCTGGATGGCAGCCAATGCCACAAACCCGCCAGTATCGCGCATGCGCAGCAATCGTCGATAGTGTCTCCAACAGAACTTCGGCCGAACTTGTTCTGGGTTCCATGTGCCACCCCCCCTCCAGCGCACACACGTAACCACCACCACCGTCCGCCGCCCCAGGATGAGACCCACGAAAAGGGATGGCAGTGGAGTTGGAAACTCCACGCCCAGTCGCTACAACTTCCTGACCAGTCACTACACCTTCCTGAGTGACAGCCCGCTTGACGGAAGCGCAGACTATGTCAGCCGTGGTATCAAGATACATCTTATCAGAGGTGGGGTCCTGACAGCTCACAGTACCTCGACCAACTTCCATATCAAGGGTTGAAATATTGTTCCAAGATCCGCGACCCAGTATTGAATATTGTTTTTGACTTTGATGGCCTGCTCACTCCCCCGCTCTTCTCTCCCCAACCAATATGCAAGGCTAATCGGAACTGGTGACGCGTCAATCGGGGCTAGTCGCGCACCGTCACACTACGTCGACAACGCCAACTGGCCAACGTGTTCGGACAACGATGGTCTACGCAGTAGTAAGCGCTGCTGTGGCTATGGCATCGCAACTCGCATCAGTATCCAATACCCACTACCTGGGCATACGCAGGCGCAATACTTAGTAAGTATGTGTGACAGCTCTGCCGCCCACCGCCCCTGAAGACATGGGCAGGAAGCAGGTGGCCAGCGCCTTACTGATAAGTAGCCCAGAGACCATGCGATGGTCGAGAGCTGCGTGGGATCGTATTGGTTCATTGAGCTTGCTACCTGGCGCACGCGATCGCAGGCATGTTCTACATTTCTGCAGACGTGCATGCAGATCTGCCAACGCGCGGACACTGATGCACACCATGCAGAAACAAGGACACTGACACACGCCCATGATCTGGATGGCATCGCATATGACTCGATGTAGGGTTCAAGCACCTACGCTAGCCCTCCCGCAAATCCGGCCCCCCCCTGGCACGAGCTCGAAACGACATTCAGGCATCGCCGAATGCGCGCATGCGCGCATGCGCGCGAACCCCTGCAACGCGGCACAAGGGTGAAGACCACGTCCTGCAACACATCGGGCCCCGAGTCTGCAATTCCCGCGCGACTGAGGTGGACGGGGTGTCTCAACTGCTCGGTTCCGAGAGCCTCCGCCAGCTGAGACCCCTTACGAGAGCCATGACCCACGCTCCAAGAAGCGCTGGCTGCCGCGTGCGCTCTCCCAGCCACTGCGTCCTCCGCTGGCATCTCTGGACTGCACCGACCCCCTCACGATTCTCTGGTCCTCCGCTGGCATCTCTGGACTGAACTGACCCTCAATCTGCGTCCTCCGCTGGCATCTCTCGGTGCATGCTGCTGTCTCACTTGCCGCTCTCCTGCCGCGTGCGGGACAAAATCAAACGCGTGCGTACGCATCCTTCCCTGAAGAGGCACTCCTGGAGATAGTCAGAGGAGACTGCGAGTTCGTCTGGCACAGCGGCAGGTCCAGGGTTGAGCGCGCGTGAAACACATGGCAGTGAGCAAGGATGAGGAAGATGGTGTTGAGGAAGATGGTGTTGGGAATGAGGGGAATCGGGAGGAGGAGGAGGAACAGAAGGCAGGGAGGCATGGGCGACAAGGGAGGGAAGGAGGGGAGAGAGGGAGGAGACGGGTCGCGTTCCTATCCGCCGCCGTGCCTTGAGCGCATGTGACTCCTGGTCTGAATAATGATTTTCCGGAGATGGGGGCCGGCAACACGACTACCACTTCCCCATATCGATCCCTTCGACGATGACCCAATGATTTGAATGTGCTCGAGAGAACGCCGTATTTCTCGGACCGTTCTGGGAAGGCACGACACCCTCCTGAGATGAGCTTCTTGAGGGTCAGCGTTGGCTTTGGGGGGCTCGGGGCATTTCGATCATCGATCCTCGCCATGCTCCTCGCAGTCCTGGCGTTTGCGAGACCCGCTGCGGCATGCGCCACATCTGGTGCACGCCGCGGCTCCCCCACGGCAGCAGACAGGCAGAACCGCCGGGCGATCGGCCGCGGCCCGTCTCGCAGCAGCTGGGCGTGAATCTGCTGCCGCTGCGCGCCCGACAGCTCCCACAGGCCGGGCCCACCACGAGCTGGCACGGGCCACGGCAGCTCGACGGCGCGGGACACCAGGTGGCAGACCGGCCCCCGCGCCCAGACGTAGCCAGGGCGGCAGTCCTCCGGGCTGCACTGCCCCTGCACGTAGAAGAGGCCCAGGATGGCCCCGTGGGGCAGCGACTGCTCCGGCGGGGCCTCGGGCCACACGGCGCGGATTCGCTCGGCGCGCTCCTGGCTGATTGGCTGCATGCCAGCGTGGACGGCGTACCATCCTGGCGGAATCCGCCACGAGCGGTTCTCTACGAGCTTGTGCCCGCGCAGGATGGCCAGCACCTGCTGCGCGCCCTGCAGCGTCAAGGCTCTGCTGACCTGCGCGCACTCCCCCAGGTCTCGCCTCGCCGCCTCCTCGGTGGAGACCACGGCACCGCCAGAGCCGCACGCCAGCCGGCCGCCTTGCTCACTGACGGCTCCTCCGCTGGCCGTGGCGACAGGGCCGCAGCCGTGCTGGGTGTCGATGCGCTCATGCAGAGCGGCGGCCCCGTCGCGCACACCGGGCGCCTCTCGGTCCCACGCCGCTGGTGGCTCGCCGTGGGCGCCGAGATCGGCCGGTGGATGCCGTTCCGGGCTGCCAGCGCCGCCGCCTCCGAGGCATCCACCAGGGCCTGGCCCTCCAGCCCCCTGCGGGACAGCGGGCGCCCAACAGCGGCGTGAGTACCAGCTGGACTGACACCCACCAGCGCGAGAGTAGTACGTCTCGACGGCTGTGCGGCTGCCAGTGCTGGAGCTGCTACAGGCCAGCTTCCCCGGCCCATCGCCATCAGGTTCGGAGTCGTGGATCCCCGAGCGGACGCCTGACCCCAGAGGATGCTGCAAAGCAGAGAACGCTTCATCGCGACTTGCTCGACGAGCGTAGAAGCTGCGAGGACAAGGCGCGTTCACAACACCCAGCAAGCCACTGCCGCCACTGAGGTCCCAATCTCGCCAAGACACGTTCAATGCGACGCAATCCCGCATGCCCGGATTCCTAGCGCGAACTACTGATGGAACCGAGGCGTCCTCGTTCGCCCACAGGATCACGGACAGGCGTAACGCCGCCTCGCAGCTCCGCGCCGGGGGCACAGAATGCTTGAAACACTGGTTGAACGGCTCGTCGAAAGCAAACACGTCCCCGTTGCCCTGTGGGACCCGGAACTCCTGGCCAGTCAGAGCGTCCTTGAAGGCCAGGTCACGGGTGGCGCCGAAGCTCATGCCGATCGTCACTGTGGGCCGTGGGGTGCGATCGTGATAGTTGTCATGGTGCCAGGACTTCGCTTCGCCTCCGTGGCGATACAAGTTCACCCAGCAATCCACCAGCGTCAGGCCGAACGTGGACAGCACGCGGGCGACCAGCTCGGTGAAGGTGTGCGAGCCCTTGAGGGCGTCGCCCCAGAGCTGCATGTGCTTCCCGCTCCGGTGGCGGCCCAGCAGCTCCCCGCATCTCTCGACGTCTGACGCCAGCGCGCGCAGGGCGCGGCCGTCGCCGCGGGGGCAGCAAAGCTCTGGCACGTGCACGCAAGTGCCTTCCCTGGCGGCCAGCAGCGGGTCCAGCGGCCCAATGCGCGGGAAGCCTGGCCGGCGGACGGCGCGGGCCAGCGGTCCTGCGGAGCTGGTCGAGGCCATGGCGCGGAGCAAGCCATGGCGAGGGCACCTGTGAGCCAGAACGGTTGCGGAAGGGGGGGCATGCGGGCAGCAAAGTCACACGTCATGAGAAGTGAAGCCCATCTGCTGGCGATGCCTCCTCCCCAACCTCTGGCTGCTCCAGGGCGCCTGGGTGGAGTCCAAACGAGCTGCGCTTCACCCTGCCCGAGCGGGGTCCAGTGCACCGTGCTGGACACTACCCGGGCAGGGTCCGACGCGCTGTGCTGCACCCCGCCTGGGCGGGGTGTGGCGCATTGCGCTGGACCCCGCGGGGGCGGGGTTCTGTGCAACTTGGCGTGCAGAGGGGCTTTGACACCAGAGCGTTTCAGGAGGTAAGTGTTTACTCCATGGGCGTCACTGTCCCTTCACCACGCCAATGTCCTGTGCTCTCTCCTGGGCAATGGCGCGTTCGAAGTACAGACACAGACACACACACACACACACACACACACACACACACACAAACACACACACAAAAACAATTACACAAACTCACGCACGGTTGGATACCTACCGTGAGTGCGCGTTGCGCTATCAAGGGCATTGGAAACTTCCGATCGTTGTGCAGGTATCGTCGGCGTTGGGCGCCCCTCGGTTTCATGTGGCGCATCGCGAACTTAGTCAGACAGCGAGCACGTTGAATTGTTTTTGACAGGAACGGCGGGGGTGTCAGCATTACAATCCCTGACAAAAAACAATACAACGTGCACCTCGCGGCTAAATCTGGATCATGCGCGGCCATCCCGCGATCACTTTCAAGTGGTTTTTGACAGGCACGGCGGGGGTGGTGACGCGTGGCCTGCTGTGCGCAGGCTCACCAGACACAATGATGGGCATTGGTTTTCGACAAGGATGGTGGTGGGGGCCAACATGTTTCCCGATGTGTGCTATCACGTGCGCAGGCGCACCTGACGCAGTCTGCACGTGCCCCGAGCGTGGCGCACCTGGCGCGGCTGGAGTGTGCGGCACACCTGGCGCACTCGGAGCACGTGGCGCACCTGGCGCACCAGGCGTGCCTGGCACGCTCGGGCCCCAGGGGTGCCTGGCGCGCGTGGCGTCCCTGGCACGCGTGGCGCACCTCGCCCAAGCGTTGCGCACCTGGGGTCTGCTGTAATTCCCAGTAGCTGTCCATCCAAAGACGACCGCTGAACATGCTCAGGCTCAGGTGTTATGCGCTGGGAGGGCGGGTGGGAGTGAGCTAGACGGCGTGCGGGCGAGTAGATAGCTTTATCACTCCCCCTACCCCCTCCCCTGGACCTGGACTTTGGGGGCGCGAGGTGTCAGAGGATCCTTTTTCGCCCAATATGGCTCCAAGAGGGCCTCAGAGAGCCCAAGATAGCCTCCAAGATCGCTCAATATAGCCCAACATGGCTCAAGATAGCTAACACCATGCCTCCAAGAGGCCCCAAGAGGGCCACAAGACGGTTCCAGGTGCATCTGGCGACCCCTCAGGACCTCCCCGAGACGCCAACATCCTTCAAAACCTCGAGAACATTACACCAGCGAAGAACCCCAACCCCAATCAGTGGATGGTTTGAAAATTAATGAAATGGATATTGACATCGATTGTGAAATTGATTATGGAATGGATAGTGAGGACGAGTGTAAGGTCGATCGTCAGACCAACAGTGAAGTCGATTCAATGAGATCGACAGGGAGATCGATCGTGAGATCGCTCGTGCGATCTATAGTGAGATCGATTGTGACATCGATCGATCGTGAGACGGATAAGAGGTGGGTTATAAGATCGATGGTGAGACCGATCGATAAGAAGATCGACCAAAAACCCGGGACCATGGGAACCCCGCCGCCTCCCGAAATCGGCCCGGAACCTGGAACCGGGAACCCGAGAAACCGGAACCGGGAACATGGGAGCCTGGTCGCCCACCGAAATCGGTCTGGCACTTTCGCCAAATCCTTCAATCTCCACTAGGACCCCTTCAGTGCAAGCACTGTTTGGAGATCACTGACTTCTGCCTTCTCGCCTTTTCGCTTCCGATGCGCTTTTGAGGCCTCAAGATGGCCCTAAGATGGCCCAAGAGAGCTCCAAGAAGGGCCAAAGAGGCCCCCAAGACTGCCCCAAGAGCGCCCAAGATCGCCCCAAGAGGCCTCCCCTCCTTTGATCGATGGTCTCCAAGATGGCCCCAGGAGGCGCTCCATAGCTCCCAAGAGGGCTCCAATAGAGCCCCAAGAGAGCCCCAAGAGAGCTCCAAGAGGGCCCCTATGAGGGCCCTAAGGCGCTCCAAAAGAGCTCCAAGAGGACCCCAAGACCCCCCAGAAAGCCCCAAGAGGGCCCTAAGATGTCCCAACAAGGCACCAAGAGGACCCCAATATCCCCCAATACAGCCCCGTAGCTCCAAGAAGGCCTCCGATGCTCCAAGATAGCCTGCAAGGTAGCCTCTAAGATGGCTCAACACCCTCTTTCCTCTCCTCTCCTTGCACGCTCTGTCTTTCCCGTCAGTTCTCATGGGCAAGCCTCCTGAATGGGCTGGTGGGGATTCGCGAAGCGTAAACAATAATAAGAGGGGCCGTCAAATCTGGGAAGATTGATCTATCATGGCCCCGGCCATGATATCCCGCCCCCTGCTGGTCACCAACCCCCTCTTGGACGCCCCCCACATGCGAAGCGCCCCGCCAACTAGGTGGCGGGCCGTGGCGTGGCCTGGCGTGCTGCTCCCAGCCCAGCTGGGAGCTGACCTGTGCGGGCGGTGCTGTGCTCGGGTGGCCTCGCGCGTGAGGGCGGAGCCGCCGTCCCCATGCCCGCCTGCTGCTCCGAACAAGTGTGATAAAAAAACAGGTGTGATAAAAAACAAGGGTGGTAAAAACAAGTGTGATGAAAAGACAGGTTGATTTGTATCACCCTTCTTTTTTAATCACCCTTGTTTTTTATCGCCCCCTGCCCGCTCGCCGCCGTGGGCGGTGCCCGCGGATGGGCGACTGGGGCTTACCCGCTTTCCAGCACTTCGGCGCTCTGCGAGCGGGCCTGGAGCGGGCGAGCGAGCGACCACCCGTTCGGACAGGCGTCCGGGCCGAGCTAGAAGGCCAGGCGGGGGAGGCCGCGGCCTCTGGGGTATGCTACGCACGGTGCTGCGCGAGACAGGCAAACGGCTGCGGAAGGTGGAGGGTGTGGGGGAGGAGAGAGGGGTCCTGTCCCGTCTCTGTCGGAGCGGGCTGGCAGGCCAACGGCGGTGGGGCTGTGCACCACGCCCCCTGTCCAGAGTCGTCGTCATCACCACCAGCAGCATCGTCGTCGTTTAGCTTGTGCACCAGGGCGCGCAACTGCTGCTTGGACTGGCCGCACTGTGTAAGCCTGGAGCGCAGGCTTTGCTCCCCCCTTACAGGGTGTGTCATTGATCTATTCGGCACGGGTCGCAAACAATCTGGCTTCTGACTCGTAGCAAGGAACGACCAAGTGGGGCGGGTAAGAGGGATCGCATTCTATCCCTAATGAATGGTCGAGGGTGCCAACGGCACAGAACAACGGAGACGAAGAACAGGAGACGAGAAGAAACGGGAGGCGCGAGATTGAGAAGACAGAAGGGGATAGGAGGGACGGCAAGAGAACATGATAGGAAAAAGGCGTGCCTGGGAAACAATCGGCATGGATGGCATGTCTCAGAAATTGTGTGGAGGCATGCTGGCGGATCATCCTTTCATCGTGCATCTCCTGTCACCTCATTCTGAGCAATCCGCGCTGCAACTACTATACCAATTCCAGCAACGAAGAACGGGAATAGCAACGGGGCCACCATATCGCCCACGCTTGTCATGAACGGCTTGTGCTTACAGCGCTTGTTTGATTCCTGTTGCTGCTGATGTTATGTATCTGATGCATCAAGTACCCACACCGGAAAGCAGGAGAGGATTAAGTAACATGAGGATGGGGAAAACCATGGAGTGAAAACGCCACCCATGCGAACATGCACACTCCGAACGGGATCCAATCCAGTAGAAAGTTTGGCAGAATTCACCAGAACACTCACTGCCAGACAACATGGGCAGGTCCAGGTGCACAAAATCCTCGACTTCGGCGGACGCTCGGAGAGACAAGCACGGGAAACGCACGGCTTCCGAATCTGGCCAAATTCGGCAAGACTTCCGTCCGACCGAACTGTCCCTGATACCAACACGAGTAGCAAGAGAAATCCACCAACGCCCGCATATTCTGTGACACAGTTAGGGGAACGAAGAATTACATAAGCGTAAAAACTCTGAGGTCCGCGCAGACTTCTCGGATCCGCGCTTAACCCCCCTAGCGGCGCCTCCGGCGCCGCCCCTGGCGCGCTCCGCGCGCCAGGGAGAGGGGTCCAGCGCCGATCCCAGAAATCCGCGCGGATCTCCAAGTTGTTATGGTTATGTCACTTTTGGTTCCCCTAACAGTTGCAGCTCGACTTCGCTACAAAGATCATTCGCGATGGCAGGCCTAGGCCTAAGTTGGGCATGTCCTCCTACAGGCTGATTTTGGAGGAACACTGAAAATAGCCAAAAAATGTTCAAAAGTATTCAAAAATAGTTAAACAAACTCGTCCCCAGTTTATCTTTTGACTATTTTTGAATATTCCCCCTGTAGAAGGCCCTATTCAAGCCTAGGCTGTGCCACATGGCGTCCATCGACCTGCAACGAAATCCCGAGGCGACCGAACAACAGAAGCAGTAGCCGACCTGCAGGCACCCCCACGCGAAGAGCCACGTCATCCGTGCGATGTCCGCGGCGAGGAAGTTGTGGAGCTTACGCTGAGCCATGGTGGCGATGCCGCTCATTAAAGCCTTCAGCCATCGGGAGGCGAACACTGAGGAGAGCAATTATCGTGTTGTGAGGAAGGGGTTGGGAGGATGAAGGGCATGAGCAATAGCATCCGGATGCAATGCACGATACCTTCGACCGCCTACGGGTAATGATATCCTCATTTCTCCCAACCCTATCCTCCCAACCCGATTACTGTCTTCCTGAAACACGGAATTAGGCAATAATGGCGAAAGGAGCAGAAGAAATGGCAGGACATCGAACACCCAACCGTCTCACGCATACGGCAGGTTCGTGTCGTGCCGACCCAGGCGATAGTTTCTGACACCGCGGGGATCGTTCAGCCTCGAGCGATCGGCCGTCTCCGAAACGTCGGATTATTCAACATCGACCGACTCTGAGTCTCGCCTGCGGCGTGCAACGTCGCGCCGGTCGACACGATGCGAACCTGCCATACACCCCTGCTCCTCCACAATTGCCCCCTTTTGAGAAAGTGTGTGAGCTCTTTGCTTCCGTCTGGCCCACTTGCGATGAGCAAAAGAGCACGCGAGAGCGATGTCGATAACTTTGTCCGAAGAGCACCTCATCTGTCAGAGTGACCCCCGCGCCTGCCTGGCCAGGAGGGCGAACTTACACCACCCTGGGCCAGCCGATCGAAGGCCGGACGGCCGGTCAAAACAGCCTGCGGATAGCCCCACGAGCCCCGACTGGCAGCGCGAGGCCTGGTGCGACTGAGACATGCCGACGTTGACAAACGCCCACGTGAGGTCTGTCAGGTCGCCTGCGAGGAGCAGAAAGAGGCCGTGGCGGCGCTGCAGCTGCTACCCCTGCCGACGCTGTCCATCATCCATTCACCTTCTTTCCCCCCCTTCCCCTTCCTCTCGCCTCCACAGCACGAGCTGCCGCTGCCGCTCCCGCTGCTCGTCATCATATGTCAGTGCTCGAGGTGCTCGAACGACCCGAGCAGTTCCCGCCCCTAGACCATAGAATTCAACCTCGACATATCGCCTCATATCCAAGAGATCCACCCGAGGCCAGACCTGGTGCGGCCCAGGGGGTCTAGGTCCAATAGGTCCTATACGTTGGTGAAGGAATGGTCTTTCCTTGCGCGGTGTAGTGGCAAGGGCCTTCTGGGGCAGGTTGATATCCTCACAAGTTCAAGTCCTGTGGGATCAGGTCTCGGCGAGAAATCTGAAGGGGCTTCTAAACAAGAATTCCCACGCTCCCGAGTGAGCGAGCGAATCCAATCCTCTGAGATCCCCGCCTTGAATCCACCTCCTGGTCTTGAGGCCAGAACTCTCGTGGCCCTATCTCCACGACCAGGCTTTCGACCCAGGACGTCCCCGGGGGGACGAACTTTATGTTGTTCCCATCGTCCTTAAAATCCACATCCCAGAAATGATTTCGAGCACCCAGAAAAGTGTCGAAAGAGTGTCGAAACAATGTCGGACGAATGTCTCCCAGGGTCCGATACGTGAAAACCCTCGAGGTTCGGTATTTTGCTGGTGTTCGGAATTCTTTTTGGTGGCCAAGGCCCAGACAGAGTGGAACATCCTAAGACGAACTCGAGACACTTATGCCCCTCGTGATCTCTCAACGACGCCTGAAAAAGATGGTCCGCCCGCGGCCCGTCGCGACGGGGCCTCGCGATGGGTCCCCTGCGGCCACGGCGCGCCCCACAAAATCTGGCATGACGGATGATGGGCCTGTTTTCCGCCACCACAACAAGTTGGAGGGCGAGGGGGTCCTCCTCCTCCACCACCTCCTCCTCCTCCTCCTCTTCCACCTCGACCTCCACCTCCTTCCCCCCTCCAACTTGTGGTGGTGGTGGTGGAAAACAAACCCATCAACGGAACGGGGCCCCGGTGGAAACGGGTCCTGGGCCCCGGGGCTTCCCCAAGGAAGGCTTCTCAGCCTGTGCATCCTGTGCCGTGCTTGTCGTCCTCACAACGCAGGAAAGGCCCGAGGGCCAGAGATCACGGAAGAACCTCCAGGACACTTTCTCCTCCGTGTCCCGCAATCCCCATATCGACCCTGAAAAATCGTCCCCCGACCTCTCTCGGGGTGCGTGCGTGCGTGTTTGGTATGTGCGTGCGTGTGAATGTGTTTGAACAGTGCTTCACAAGGAATCCATCTGTGGCAACGAGGAGTCTTCAAGCGGACCACGAAGTCCCCGAACGGTCCAGTTCCTCGACCCTCGAGCTCAGATCTCAACTTTCTTACGCCCTCGAATCTCCAAGACATGTGCTCTCCATGGTGACCGCTGCCGCAGGCCCTTCCGCCCACCACCTTCTCAAAAGCCCGCGCCCAACTACGTACATGAATTCGGCTCTCCAGCCTGCGAGACTAACTAACGTCGCGGTACGAACGTTCGCGCAATGCGTACTTTCGAAACCAACGTGGATTCATGCACGCGAACGTCCTTCTTTCGCTCCTTAACATGGACCCCCAAAGTGTCTGGAATCATCACGGGAACGGTTATTTGATCCCGAATTGCTCTTTGACGGTCCTGGGGCCTCGCCGGCGACCCAGGAGGCCAGTCACGGCGCCCATACAGAGAGGCTGGAACAATGCCATCTGCATAAGCTTTCGGAAGTCCGCGCGGACTTCTTGGGTCGGCGCTTGAACCCCCTTCTTGGCGCGCCTCGCGCGCCAGGGAGGCCCAACGCAAATTCAGGAATTCCTCGCGGACCCCTGAACATCTACAATCATCGTGCTACCACCACGAAGGCATAGTCAGAAGGAGCTTTTCTGGCCACGGCGGGCCTAGGCCACCAACAATTTCGCCGACATACATCTAAGGAACGGCCCGGAAACCCGACCCCCCTCCTGAGCCCAAAGCGGCCTTTGTTTCAGCGACTTGACAGTTATTGCATCTATTCTTCTGCTGCTACACGATGGCAAACATAACAACAACTCGGAGGTCCGCGCAGATTTCTTGGGTCGGCGCTGGACCCCCCTCCCTGGCGCGCGGAACGCGCCAAGGGCGGCGCTGGAGGCGCCGCCAGAAGGCTCCAGCGCCGATCCGCGAAATCCGCACGGACCTGTTCTGTCTATGTCGTCGTTTCTCGGCTGCACGCTAGAGTGATCCTAGGCAAGAGTGACCTCTGTTGCGCGGACTCTGGGGGCGCAGGGTGGCCAAATCCAAGCGCGCAAGCAGCCACTGTCGCATCGCGCTCAGCGATCGAGGGGGGGCCAACACGATGGTTCGAGGAAGGGGTCCTGAGGGATGGGGCCCTAAGGACAGGAAGAGATCCAAGGGTAGATTTGCTTTGTTCGAGGCACCTCGTCCTCAAGACCCCATCCCTCAGGACCCCATCTTTGAGCCAGCCCGCACCAAAGGCCACTCCAGCGAAGGGTCACTCCCACGGGCAATCGAGCTTGGCTCTCTATCTCCGAGGAGGGGCCGGTCTGGTCCCCCGTCCGCCCAGGGCGGGCACGGCACTCCTGAGGAGCAGAGGTGGAGCTTCAGCATCGCCTCCGGCGGTCGAGGGGCGGGGAGGGGCCTGGCAGGGGTCAGGCAGAGGACGAGGCCACTGCGCAGGCAGACACCTTCGGAGTGGGGAGGCGGCTTCCTCGGCTCGGCACGAGGCCTCCGAATCAAACAGTCCTCGCGGCCGTGCCTGGTAACCAAATCCTCTGGTGCGTGTCGCCCGAACATTCCGTCAAAGCACGATGAAGATGTCACGGAGTATCTCTTCGAGGTGGTGAGCATATGCCAAGGGGCCAAAGGCTAAGATGCATAATGCAAGGGCCGCTGGACCAGACCGGGACGCTGCTGACCAGGAGTCCGCAGATCCCGCCTGGAGAGGAGGACTTGTCGAACGCTTCGACCCACGGCTGCAGCTTCCTCGGGCGCGCCAGTGTCACAGGTTAGCATCACGTAGCGGAAAGAGCGAGGTACGAGTGATGACGTTCTAGTGTGGGGCGAAGCCCTTAAGGGGGGAGTGCAGAGGGGGGGCGAGGCGGCGACGCAGGGTTGGTAGTGGCCGTTTTCGGGTTTTCCATAGGGTTTTCGCATATTTTTCGGGTTCCAAGACGGCCCCAGAGCGCTCCAAGAGAGCCCAAGACCGCCCAAGACGGCCCAAGAGGCCCCCAAGAGGCCCCCAAGAGGCGCCCAAGGGGTGTCCCAAGAGGGCCCCAAGAGGCCAAAATCATTGATCTTCCTTAGGGAAACGTGCATTTTTAGCATATGCGGCTGTTCGGCTTTCACGGCATTGACGACGGCCCAAGAGGCCCCCAAGACCGCCCCAAGACGGCCCAAGAGGCCCCCAAGAGGCTCCCCAAAAGGGCCAAGAGGGCCCCAAGACGGCCCAAGAGGCGCCCAAGACGGCCCAAGAGGGCCTCAAGACGGCCCCCAAAGGGGGACCACGAACCGAAAAGTCTAGCCTTTCGCCCCAAGACGCTCCCAGGAGGCCCCAGGAGCCCCCCAAGAAGCCCCAAGAGGCCCCCAAGAGGCGTCCCAAGAGGCCACCAGGAGGCCAAAATCATTGATTTCCTACAAGAAAGCGTACATTTTTAGCATACACGGCGTTTCGGCTTTCACGGCGTTGAAGACGGTCCAAGAGGCCCCCAAGACCGCCCCAAGAGGCTCCCAAGAGGCCCCCAAGACGGCCCAAGAGGCCCCCAAGAGGCCCCCCAAAAGGGCCAAGAGGGCCCCAAGACGACCCAAGAGGCGCCCAAGACGGCCCAAGAGGGCCCCAAGACGGCCTCAAGAGGGGGACCACGAACCGACAAGTCTAGCCTTTCGCCCCAAGAAGCTCTCAGGAGACCCCAAGAGCCCCCCAACAAAGCCCCAAGAGGCCTCCAAGAGGCCCCCCAAAGGCCCCCAAAAGGGATCCAAAAGGGCCCCAATAGGACTCCGAAGAAGGCCCAGAGACGCCAAATAAAGAACGATCGGTAACGCAAAAAGCTCTTCACACCAAGGCTCCCAAGAGCGAACGGTGACGTAAACAAGCTGATAAGACCAAGGCTCCCAGCAGAGAGCGGTGACGCAACAAGTTCCTGACACCAAGGCCCAGCTAAGGCTCAGGAACGAGCGGCAACGCAACATTCTCTGAACACCAAGGCTCCCAAGAGCGAGGGGTGACGTAACAAGCTCTCAACGCCAAGGCTCCCAGTACGAACGGTGGTGTGAGTAATTTCGGTCAAGATTCTGAAGCGCTCTTTCCGTTTCCGTGCCGGCCCCAGGTCCCCGTCTACGGGCGGACCCGGGACAGCAGAGCATACTCAAAGAACATAAGGGCCCTCCGCCGGCCAAGGCACCGCAAACCACGAGATCACTCGAGGGCACCCTCCCCCAGAAGGAGCACGAGAACATCCAGCAGACACGCAGAACATCAGGGCACCCCCGAACCGACCTCGAACTCAACCTCGGTCCGATCGCTGGGGGCCCCGACGAAGCGCGCCCGGGGCGGCGCCGGGAGTCCCGAGGTGCCGCCAGAGGGGGTCCAACGCCGAGCTGGGGAGGCCCGCGCAGACCCCCGAAGGCTTACAGGAGTCGGCATGAAGGGGCCGAGCGGGGCAAGGCGGCGGCAACGCTGCCCTCGGGTGCTGAGCCGCGTCAGCGCTTCGCCGACTGCCGGGTCGCCCTCCGTCCTTCTCTTCCCTCCTCCTCCTCCTCCTCCTCCTCCTCCTCCTCCTCCTCCTGTATCTCCCGCCTCTTCCCTCCTCCTCCCCCTCCTCCTCCTCCTCCTCCTGTAACTCCCTCCTCCTCCCTCCTCCTCCTCCCTCCTCCTCCCCCTCCTCCTCCAGCTGCTGGACTCCTCCCTCCCTCTGGGCTCCTCCATCCTGCTGCTGAACTGCTACGTCCACCTCCTGGGCCCCTCCCTCATCCAAGCTCCACACTCTCCTCCTCCTCCTCGTCCTCCTCCTACTCCTCCTCCTCCTCCTCCTCCTCCTCCTCCACACCACCACCACCACCACCACCACCACCACCACATCACCATCACATCATCATCATCATCATCATCATCATCATCATCATCATCATCATCATCATCATCATCAGCATCAGCATCAGCATCAGCATCAGCATCATCATCATCATCATCATCATCATCATCATCATCATCATCAGCATCATCATCATCACCAGCATCATCATCGTCATCGTCATCGTCATCGTCATCATCATCAGCATCATCATCAGCAGCATCAGCAGCATCATCATCACCATCATCAGATCATCAGCATCATCATCAGCAGCTGCATAACAATCATACTGATCATTATCATCAGCATCATCATCAACAACACCATCATCATCGGCATCATCAGCATCATCATCAGCATCATCATCATCAGCATCATCAGCATCAGCATCATCATCATCATCATCATCATCATCATCATCGTCATCGTCATCGTCATCGTCATCATCAGCATCATCATCAGCATCATCATCAGCATCATCATCACCACCATCATATCATCAGCATCATCATCAGCAGCTGCACAACAATCATCATGATCATCATCATCATCATCATCATCATCAGCATCATCATCATCATCATCATCATCATCATCAACAGCATCATCATCATCGGCATCATCAGCATCATCATCATCAGCAGCAGCATCATCATCAGCATCAGCACCAGCACCAGCATCAGCATCATCATCATCATCATCATCATCATCATCAGATGATGACTCATCATCATCATCATCATCATCATCATCATCATCATCATCATCATCATCCTAGTTTTGGCTCGAGGGTTTTGGGTGCGTCAGCCAGGCTGGCGCGATTCCTCGTGCTGAGACAAGCGCAACGCGGTGCGCGATTCGACAAACAACCATAGTGCCCGCCGCGATAGCCAGCGGGTCCGCCCGACTCTGGCGGCCTGGGCGGCAAGGATCAGCGTGCGTTGACGGGCGCGCCTGGCGGAGGGCGCCAAGAACCCCTCGAGTCGCCACGGCTTCGCGCCTGGGAGGATGGCGGCCCAGGGCGGCGAGAGCGACGGCAACCAGTCGGGCTGGGACGACGCGGGCGCGGAGGAGGCTCGCGGCAGCGACAAGGTGGCGGTGCTGCGGGCCCTCGTCGCGAAGCTGGAGGGCCTGAGCAGCCCTGGCGGGGCCATGGTGTCGAACCTGGTGTCGTTGTTGGCGTCCTACCGCAGCGACGTGGTCGAGCTGAACAAGCGCTGCTCGGCGAAGCAGGAGCACATGTACGAGCGGAAGGAGGCCCTCGCCATCGCCGAGAGGGAGCTTGAGGCGGCGCTGGCCGAGCGCGAACGGCTCGTCCTGGAGTACTTCGGCAACCTCCAGGCCACGGCGGAGGGCCAGGTTCCCCTTTAGGCCGCGGCCGCGGCGCAGCTCGTCGAGGGGTGGGGCGCGCAGGAGGCCGCCCCTGCAGCCGCGGCAGCCAGGCCGAGCAGCGCGGGAGGCGGCACCAGCGCAGAGTCCTTCGAGGTCGTCTCCAGCCAGGACGAGGCCGAGGGCGCGGACGCGGACTCGACGATGGACGACGCGACGGAGTCGGCCCTGGCTGCAGATTTGGTGGGCCCTGGCGGCGATGGCGGCCGCTCTGCCTCGAGCCTCAGCCGCGAGGGGAACCGCATCATCATCGCTGCAGCCCGCGCAAAGGCGGGAGGCGGCCGCCGCGGTGGCAGCGGCGGGGTCACCAAGAAGAAGTGACAACGGCGGTGCGCCCGTGCCCCTGTGCCTCGACGCGCTGATCCCAGCAGGCGGCCCCGCGGCACGCGCGGCGCCCGAGGGCGGCCCAACGGGAGCGGGCCCGCGCGGGGAGGGCAGCTGCCGCCCCAGCCGCCCCGAGGACGCGGCCCCGGGGCGGCCAGCCTGGCAGCGCGCGCCCGCCCGCGGCGCAAGTACACTTTCGGTATCATCACGGTCAACGGGTCTGGATGGAGCCCGCTGACCCAGCTCTGGCAGGAGGAGGTGGCTGGCGCTGGGTTCGTCGAGAACCACCGCGACGACGCGTGGCTCGTCCAGGAGACGCACCTCCACGCGCGCGACATCAGCGTCCAGGAAGCGCGGTGCAGGCGCGCGGGGGTGAAGGCTGTCCTGGCGCCTGGCCAGCTGGCAGCGGCGGCGCGGGAGGCGCCCGCGCGGCCTCGGGCGGCGTCGGTGTCGCCGTCCACGCCACGCGCGGCCTTGCCAACGCCGGCACGGCAGGAGGGGGGCGCGCGTCCTGCAGCGACGGGCGCGGCAACGTCGCGGCGACGGACGCAATCCGCCGCGGCGGCCTGGCCCATGGCAGGGTCTACCTTGCCAGCGACGCGTTGGGGGGGCCTCGCAGCGGGCCCTCATCGAGATCGGCGACGCGCAGGTGTCCCAGGGCAAGCCGTGGATCCTCGGCGGCGACTTCAACCGACCACCCGCAGATCTCGGGCGGCCCCAAATCGTGCGGGGAGGCGCGCCGCAACTGCTGCGGCGCCCGCCGGGTGGCCGCGCTGGCGGCCGTGGCCGTCGCGACCGCCGACGTCCTGGCGGCGCCGGCAGCCGAAGCCC